TTCTAGTACTTCTTTTTCTGTGTGCTAACCATATTAATGTTATATAGCATCTTTTAATGTGCTGTATATTTTATTTTTATTTTTAATGCACCTTTTGTTAATAGAAGTGGATAAAAATCTCTGAACATTACTAGAGTAAATTTATTTTTTGCACTTGATTACTCTTTCTTTAAATAAACACTCTTAGCTGATCTAGTTGTATCTACAACAAATATATCTATATCTATAAAAGTATCTATAAAAAATTTTACAAACACACTTTATCTTTTTATTGCTATTTATTTCAATATCTTTTTTCTACTTCTCTGTATTCATTAAACGAACAGTTTCTAAACTAAAAAAAAACCCAAGTTAAAACCATTTTGTATTCCACTACAACTGTTGTGAACCTAGTGCTAAAAAAAGTACAAATGATAGATTTCTCTCTAACTTCTTTTTTACATACTTTTAAGTATTTTTTTTTTTTTTTTAACATTTTTAACATTACACTACATAATATTTTCTTTAGCTTCTTTTACTCTTTTACACTCTGAAATCTTACTATTCATTCTTCTTCTGTCTCTGTAATGGATAAATCTGCATCAGTATTTGAAATCAAATATTAACTATCTGTGATAAAAGCTTCAACTCTATAGAGTGAGCTTTAAATAAAATAATAAATAGAATACTTTATAAATTTTTTATTTATAATTATATTATTATTTACTTTATAGTTATAAATAAACAGGGACTGAGCAGGCTGATATTTATTTGATTTAAATTGTTTATTTAATTTAAATAAATTTTGATGATAAATATAAGAGCTCAAAGTAATCAAAGCTTCAACCTTTAATTTATTTTAAATAAAATTTAAAAGTCTTCATAATATCATAAGAAGAAGTCAGAATATAGGTTTACATGTTTAATATATAAATTCAATTTAGAAGTATTCATAATGTTAATAAATAAAAGAGCAAGGATAATTATTATCATTGTTTTTCTTTTTCTTTTAATTTATCTAGTTTTTGTTGACTTTTTTTTTCTTTTTTTATTCTCCTCATTTATATTTCATTTGCTTTTCTTCCTTTTTGTTGTTGAGAACTTTACGTTTTTTATGTGTCACTCCATTGACTAGTTTGTATCTATATAAGTGACACCTAATAAATTTCTGTAAATTTACGATGAAAATTTGTAAATTTTTATTAATATTGTTAAATAAAATTTTTAAAAATTAAATATACACACAATTTAAAATAGTAGCCACGTATCTTTAATCTTCTTTAAAGAGAGATTACTAAGGTTTATAGGTTAAATGTTGAAACCAAATTTTGTTCTATTTGCGGTAATCCCACACAATAATTAATATGAATTCGTTACATAATACAAATTAAGGTTTTAAAAACTTTTAATTTGCTTTAAATTATAAGATTTTTATTCTGCATAGAAATGCTGATTCAGTTCATCTAAAGTCACACTTGGAAGCTTTCAAAGTGTATGAGGACCTTCCCTAATTTTATTATTATTTAAAAAATATTTTTACTTATTTATTATTATCCCCTCCATAAAAAAACACTTGGGAGTAAATAATACTAAGTATATGGTATAGATTCCAACTTTAACTCGGTAGTCCTTAATTTATAACTTAATTAGATACTGACAATTAGCGTATTTTTATAACTTGTCCAACAGTAGCTTAGAACTTTTATTACTTAAAATTTTTTGCCGAAGCCAAAGATTCGGCAAAAAATTGACCTGGCATGCCGAAGCCGAAGCCGAAGCTTCGGTACATCCCTTATTTAAACTATTTGTTATTAGCTACTGTTAATAACATAAAGCTTCAATATAGCTGCCTGTCTATTTATTTTTATGTTATTAACTATTCTTAATAACATAAAGTTTCTTGATGGCAGCTTGTCTATTTATTTTTTATGTGTGTGCTTACACTATGTTAAAATGCATGTTGATTTTTAATGCTTAGTTGACGGATTTTTAACTTTTTAAATAACTCATTTATATTTAACCTGAATTTTTTGAAATTCTCTGTGAATATAGCATGACTTATTTTTAAATATTACAAAAACGTCGTATAACCAAAATTCAACATTGTATCAACGTTGAAAATTTGTTTAAAAACTATCAATTAATATCGACGTTGATTCCACGTTAATTCAACGTCTATATTACGAGTTCGACCGTTCGTATTAGGGATGTACCGAAGCTGAAATTTTGCCGAAGCCGAAGCTTCGGCCGAAGCCACTTTGCCGAAGCCGAAGCTTCGGCCGAAGCCGAAGCTTCGGCACTATATATGCTTAAAATTTAATCAGCATTCAGATCAGCAGGGGTGTAAAACAAAAAAGGTACCAAAACTAAGGTCCTTGACTAATAATATAGAAAAATCGTATAAAAATGAGGACGCCAGTCAGGGTTGCTGTTCCAGGCAGAGCAAAAACTCTCAGCGCCCCTGTTTAAAAGTTTCTCATTATGTCGTTTCTGATACTTGACCGCACCGAGCGTTTTTTTTTTAAACTTAAGCTTTTTTGAAACATTTTCCCCAAATATTTCTACTTCTAGTTCTACTTTTTCTGTGTGCAAACCATATTAATGTTATATAGCATCTTTTCATGTGCTGTATATTTTATTTTTATTTTTAATGCACCTTTTGTTAATAGAAGTGGATAAAAATCTCTGAACATTACTTGAGTAAATTTATCTTTTGCACTCGATCACTCTTTCTTTAAATAAACACTCTTAGCTGATCTAGTTGTATTTACAACATAAAAAATCTCAGAAACACACTTTATCTTTTTATTGCTATTTATTTCAATATCTTTTTTTTTACTTCTCTGTATTCTTTAAACGAACAATATCTAAACTAAAAAAAGCCCAAGTTAAGACCATTTTGGATTCCACTACAACTGTTGTGAACCTAGTGCTAAAAAAAAGTACAAATGATAGATTTCTCTCTAACTTCTTTTTTACACACTTTTAAGTATTTTTTTTTTTTGATTATTTTTAACTTTACACTACATAACATTTTCTATAGCTTTTTTTAATCTTTTACATACATAAATCTTTTACATAAATCTGCATCAGTATCTGAAATCAAATCGCGAGGTTAGAATTATTTTGTTTTATCTCCACTTTTTGAAAAAAATGAGTTATTAATTGTGTAATGCACCTCAAAATAATTTTTTTCTACTATATTAAAACCTAAGTTAAAATCAAAAAAGTTTCGGAGAAAACATAAGTAATAAAAATCTTTTTATATGCCGTCTCCTAAAGTTTTTATTTTTTAAATCGTTTTATCTCGAAACAAAAAAATGTGGAGATAGAACAAAATAATTCTAACCTCGCGAAATATTAACTATCTGTGATAAAACCTTCCATAGCAATCTAACAACTCTGTAGAGTGAGCTTTAAATAAAATAATAAATAGAATACTTTATAAATTTTTTATTTATAATTATATTATTATTTACTTTATATTTATAAATAAACAGGGACTGAGCAGGCTGATATTTATTTGATTTAAATTGTTTATTTAATTTAAATAAATTTTGATGATAAATATAAGAGCTCAAAGTAATCAAAGCTTCAACCTTTAATTTATTTTAAATAAAATTTAAAAGTCTTCATAATATCATAAGAAGAAACCAGAATATTGGTTTACATGTTTAATATATAAATTCAATTTAGTTATATCATTGTTTTTCTTTTTCTTTTAATTTATCTAGTTATTGTTGGCTTTTTTTTTTCTTTTTTTATTTTCCTCGTTTATATTTCATTTGCTTTTCTTCAATTTTTGTTGTTGAGAACTTTTTGTTTTTTATGTGTCACTCCATTGACTATTTTGTATTTATATAAGTGACACCTAACCAATTTCTGTAAATTTACGATGAAAATTTGTAAATTTACACACAATTTAAAATAGTAGCAACATATCTTTAATCTTCTTTAAAGAGAGATTACTAAGGTTTATAGGTCAAATGTTGAAACCAAATTTTGTTCTATTTTCGGTAATTCCACACAATAATAAATATGAATTCGATACATAATACAAATTAGAGTTTTAAAAACTTTTAGTTTGTTTTAAATTTTAAGGTTTTTATTCTGCATAGAAATGCTGCTTCAGTTCATCTAAAGTCACACTTGGAAGCTTTTAAAGTGTATGAGGACCTTCCCTAATTTTATTATTTTTTTCAAAATATTTTTACTTATTTATTATTATCCCCTTTATAACAAGACACTTGGGAGTAAATAATACTAAGTATATGGTATAGACTCCAACTTTAACTCTGTAGTCCTAAATTTATAACTTTATTAGACACTGGCAATTAGCTTATTTTTATAACTTGTCCCACAGTAGCTTATAACTTTAATTACTTAAAATTTTTTGCCGAAGCCAAAGATTCGGCAAAAAATTGACCTGGCTTCGGCCGAACCGAAGCTTCGGCAAAATTGCCGAAGCTTCGGCACGCCGAAGCCGAAGCCGAAGCTTCGGTACATCCCTAGTTCGTATTGCATTTTGAGAACTCAAATACGCAAGCGTGACTTTACTAGGGCCTTATGTTGCCTTAATAGTTAAATAAATAGTTAATGTAATATTGTTAAATTGCTAATGTAATATTGTTAAATTTCACAATTTAAAAATATAACATGGTTTAACTTGGGGTGCAGTTAGTTAGATAAATATTAAATAGATATTTTTTTATGACGGTAATATTTCATGAGTGTGGATTACAAAGTAAACTTTGCTTGAATTTTTCTTACAGTTTTTTAAGTAAGTTTTTTTTTAGAATTTTATTAAATGGTTTTTCTATGTATGTTAGTATATTTAACTATACTAATTTTATATTATATAAATATAAAATATATACTATCACTGTAAACATATATATATATATATATATATATATATATATATATATATATATATATATATATATATATATATATATATATATATATATATATATATATATATATATATATATATATATATATATATATATATAATAGTGTCTTCTGTTGTTTAGAAAAATTTAGGAAATTTTTTTGCTTGTTACGCTCTTGTCATTAGAGGTTTTTGAAACCATCAAAGTAATATTTGAAACAATGAAAGAAAAAAGATTGCTACCCCATGCTAAACCCCAGTTGATGTAGTAGCACTTCCTTGTAGCAGCAGACTATAAGATAGTAGATGTATGTAGTGAAGCCAATAAATATTCTCTGTTTATATTAAAAAGTCACCATTTTAAGCATGTCTCCACGCGAGATCGCAACAAGCAAAAAAATAAAATTATTTTAGGCTGCTTAACTGCAGATTTATCGCTTTTCAACAACCATGTGATTCAAAGAGTTTGAATATTTTTCATATTAAAAAAAAATATCTGTCTGACAAATGTATAATAAATAAAGCAGATTTTTCCTGTAAAGTTATACGCATGTTGTATAAAAAAATGGATTTGTGCTTGCACCTTTAGTCCATGATATTGTTTGGTAAACAAAAAACTTGATATCATGTGTTGATAAATAAATTTAAATTTGTTTTCATTTAATCCTTAAGTTTAATTCTTGATATGATTTTTTAAAAAAGAGTTACCAAAAAATTATCTTAATTTTATATCAAACTATTTTTAAAAATAATTGTTATAAATTTTTTTATTATAAAGAAAATAGTACTTTTAAAGGCTTTTTAAAGATTTATGGTAAGACTAGGGCCCTGTGAATTGGCATTTTTTGTTTCGAATTGAATTGCAAATCAAAGCAGGTCTTGATTCGCAATTCAAATCACATTTCGAATTAACATTTTGAAGTCTAAATCTAAGCATTTTTTATTTAATAATATATATTTCAGAATAAAATAAATAAAACAATTGTATAATCTCTTAATTGATGATTTTCGCCCTGGTTAACCTTTTTAATGACTGATTAAAAAGGTATTTAAGTATAAGTAACGTTATTTTGATAGCGCCAAGGCCCAGAATATCTAAAATACCCACAACAAAATCAAACTAAGCAAGTATTCGATTTTTGAAAATTTTTGAATCGTATTTTAATTAACTTGAATCATATTTTTGATTTTATTCAATTCAAAATCTCAAAATTTTCGCAGGCCCATAGGTAAAACATTTTAACACTTTTATTTCAATATAATTTTAACTAGGCAGCTATATTATGTATAAGTTAAAGTTGTAATTTTCTGTTAGTTAATTCACACTAACAAATATTTTATGTATAAGAATACAAAGTATTGTTTTTAAAAATAAACTTTTCCAGTTTATAAAGTATAGTAGGGCAAGCAAAATGTACATTCAAGCTGTTTGGTTAGAAAATAGAGAGAAATAGAGAGAGAAAATACGATTGATAATTTTTTGTGTTAGCCATCATCATTAAATGTAATAAATTGTTTCAATGAAATGCATAAACTGCAGTTTAACTAATAAAGATTTAAGCTGCTCAAAATTAAATGTTGTGGAGGTAATATAATTTTGTTTATAAACATCAAGTCATTACTTTTTTTCCTTTCTTCTTTAAAATGCTCTATTTCTGTATATGTTATTTTTAGTGTTTAAGATATATTTTTATTATATAATATGTTTAAAACATAGTTTTAAATTGAATGATTATTTTTTTACATTGATTGATTTACTTTTTTATTTTAAAGATATTTAGATCAGCAATAGCAAGAAAGAGAGGATTTTAATATAGTGCAAAGCCAAGATGGCGCATGTGTTTTTCCGCAGAAAAGAAAAAATTTGTTTTGCCAGAGACACCTGCATTAATTTCCCTTATAAGATAAGTTACTAAAAAAGATTCCTCATCAAATGGAAAGTCTCCCATTACTGAATAAGGTATGTGAAATATTTGTTATTTATTTTGGTATGCATTCATTTTATTAATTAGTAAAAAAAGCAAGTAATTATTTTTAAGACATTAGGAAAAATATATTTTTTGAAAATCCAATAATTTTGTTTATTTAATAAATAGATATTTTGATACAGTATGTTTTGTTTTTGTGTTTCAATGCTTTTAAAAACTAATTAATGTTTGGTTCTTTTGTGTTCTTGTGATATCTTTATTATTTTAGAATATAAAATAGAAATTCAGAAGAAAGTTATATATGCAGTAGTAGAAATGAAAGAGATGTTAGTAAAGCTCTTTCCAGTAGTTAAAATAATATCATGACAAATAGTCCTGAAATTTGATGGATGAATTTGTAGCAGTCATTTAGTGATTATGATAACAGTTTAAGTGATTTTTGGGTGAGATCTAAAGCTAGGTTATTTCAAACCATGACTTTTTGCAGCTTTTTTATTGTTTTTTTTGGGATTATGTATTTGCTTAAGTTAACCTACTTGTAACTTATTATAAATGTACTATAAAATAATGTAATGTAATTATTTTCTTAACCCTTTAGGGATTATGATAACAGTTTAAACGGGTGATGTCTGAAATGGTAGTTTTTTTTAAACCATTACTTTTTGCATTTTTAAACCATTACTTTTTTCACTTTTTCAATGTTTTTTTATCGATTATGTATTTGCTTAAGTTAATCTATTTGTAACTTTTTGTAAATGTACTATAAAAATAATGTGATGTGATTATTTTCTTAAACCTTTAGGTTAACAAATTTTCTAAAATAAGAGGTGAGACAATTACAAAAAATGTGATGCCAAGGTTAGTAAAAGGTTATGAATAAAAAATCTTTTGAATCTAGTTATTTTGACCTGTGATATATATATATATATATATATATATATATATATATATATATATATATATATATATATATATATATATATATATATATATAATATATCAATTTTTAATATAACTATTATAATAATAACAATGTTTAATACAGGTTGTTGACCAATGGTTTATAATCAAAATTTAATATGGCTGACGGTAAGAACAAAGAAAAGTTTAAAGGAACAAACATTTGTAAGGTTGTTACTGGTCAAGTGTAGTCAAGTGTAAAACTATATATTTTTAAGATCAGATTTCGTTGCTTTGATGCTGTTTTATATTTACTTTTTTATGTATTTTATGCAAATTATTCAGACAATACCTTTTTTTATAGAGAGCAACATGTCAATTAAAGCGACTACTGCAGTTGCCGAAATAAGAAAAGGAATAATGACTTTATTAAAATACGCACTCGACAGATTGAATGGTGGTGGTGGGCGCGTAAAAGACGGTTCACTAGATGTATAACATTTTTTCCTAATTGTTCTACAACTATTGTTAAATAAAACATTTTTTTTTTAAACATTTTACTCTATTTGGATTGTGTTTAAAGTCCCTTGAAGCAATTTAGTTGTATCTGATTAATTTACTTGAAATATAATATTCTTTGCTCAAACTATTGCCTTTTTATTGTATTATTTTATTGCAATTAAAGTTGAGAATTTTTTAGTTAAATGAGTTTAACCAAAATAAAAAACAAAAATCAACGTTGAATTTACGTTGTTTCAACGTTGTTCTAACGTCTTATCGACTACGTATCAACCGAATATATAACCTATTCAAAGTTGAAATATGGTTGATATGTAGTCGATAAGACGTTAGAACAACGTTGAAACAACGTAATCATCGGCGTTGTTTCAACGTCGATGTTATCTCCTAACGTCGTAGTTTTCAACGTCGGATTTTATTTCCAATTCCACCAAATTTCAACGTTGTTTCAACGTGGCATATGATCGGTTTGCGACGATGTTTCAACGTTATTTCAACGTCATAGTGCCTGCTGGGTGAAAGCTGTAACGATTGAAAACAAGATGTGTAGCACAATAGCATAAGATATTGTACTATGACAGCTGCTACACTCTAAGAAAAAATCCGTTATATACAACGAATTGTATCTGTCGCTATTGCACTAACGGGAATTCCGTTAAGTTAACGAATTAAAATTTTAACGAATTGAAGTCCGTTAGGAATAGTCCGTTGAATTTACGGATTTATTTCGTTAGTTCAACGAATAATCCGTTAAAATTAAGGAGTTATTACACTAGGCAGCAAATTTTCCGCGGTTGTTATTCCTATGAAATAAATGTGTTAATAAGTTATTTTAGTGATTATTTCGTTAAAATCACTAAAATCTAAAATTAGAGAGGCCAGAATTGTGACTTCATAACCAAATAATCCTTATATTTGTTAATGTTTGCATTTTTATTTAATTGCATTATTTTATTTCGATATTCTACATTAAAACGTTTTAACCAAAAATTGAAAACTCATCAAATATTTATAATATTTAATCCAATATACTTTAAATTACAATAAAAATACATAAAAAAAAATTTTTAATACACTATACTCAAGCTAGTACATTTATATAAAAAACACACATATATATAATAGATGTTTAAAATAAACCAATGCCAAGATAGTTTTTGGTCGCTAGTTTTGGTTTGGTTGGTTTAAATAGGTTTTGGTTTTGAATACTGTTGTTGCTCGTACACAGGCTCGCACTTTAAATCAGACACCATGCTGTCAACTCCTTAAAGATTAATATAAAATAAAATATGGAAAATATGGAAACTTAATAACATACCTAGTATAGAACCAAAATAAAATGTTATTGATAGCACTATAGAAAATGTTTTTGGTAATTCATTATATACAAATTTCTATTCTAAATTTTGTTATTTTAATTATCTCTGATATCGTTTTTTTAAAGATAAAGTTAAATGGAACAAGTAAATTATATCTTTATTAAAATGTAAATTAAAAAAAAAGTATAAGATTACCTTGATATTATCTGATGACTGAAAGACTATACATTTCACATACATGAATACCTATTAGGAGCAAAAAATAAAGTCTCTAACCTTTTAAAAACTATGATAAATCAAAACAAGATTAAATATGCAGACCAAAAAAAACGCAACTTATTTAAACTTACAGTGTCATACCACTTGTCACATGTTTAAAATAGCTAATTCTAAAATAATCGAGAATATAGAATATAGAAGAATAATAGTTAAAAAAGTATGATATAAACTTAGTCTTAACTAAACTAAAAAAACATGCATGCCAAAAGAAATGCAAGTTAAAATACAATTTTTTTAAATATACTAATTCAAACATACAGTGGGATACCACATGCCACGTGTCTAAAACAGTAAATTTTAAAATAATATAAACACGCCAGATATAAACTTATTACTATTATTATTATTATTATTATTATTATTATTATTATTATTATTATTATTATTATTATTATTATTATTATTATTAACAATTGTTGAAACTCAACTAAATAATTATGCACGCCAATAGAAATGCAAGTTACAATATAAATTTTACAACCAATTTCAACTTACAGTATGACAGCTTATACCATGTGTCTAAAATAGCAAATTCTGAAATAATATAAATAAGCCATACACAAACTTAGTTGTAATCTAATTATATAAACATGAACGTCAAAAGAAATGCAAGTTAAAATAAATTTTTTTTTAAATATACTAATTCAAACTTACAGTGGGATACCACATGCCATGTGTCTAAAACAGTAAATTCTAAAATAATACAAACACATCAGATATAAACTTAGATTAAACTCAACTAAATAAATATGCAAGTTACAATATAAATTCTACAACCAATTTAAACCTACAATGTGACACTAAATGCAACACCTCTAAAGCAGCAAATTCTAAGATAGTATAAATAAATAAACATGAATGTTAAAAGAAAAAGAAGTTCCAATATAAATTTTTTAATTTTAGAACTAGTTTTAACTTACAGTGGGATAACAAATGCCATGTGTCTAAAACAAAAAATTCTAAAATAATATAAACACACCAGTATAATCTTAGTTTATGATATTGGATGCCACATGTTTAATTTGGAAATTAATAAAAATTGCAATTTATAAAAGCATATTAACTAGCCATGTAAACTTAGTTGTAATTAACCTAAATAAATATACCTATCAAAGATGTTAACATTTTTAATTTTACAACTGATTTAAACTAACATGGTACCGTCAACCGGGGTGACTCCGGACAATTTTCGAAGAAAATATTAAACTGTTTCATTAAAATCAATACAAAATGGAAATATTTTTGTGGAACGTACCACTGTAATTATAAAGAACGTGAAGAAATTTTGGCTTTCAGCTTTCCAATATGTTATTAGCATAAAAAAACGGTTTAAAAATCAAAAAATCAAAATCGGGAAATGGGGTGACTCCGGACACTTGAAGCTTGAGATTTTAAAAGTTGAAATTTCAACATCAAGAGTTTTAAAATGAATGTATAACTATGTAAAAAAGCTGCTTAATTAAATTTTTTTAATTTTTAATTAAGCAATTAATTTTTTATTTCAAATAACAAAACAAAAAACAACAACTATTGATAAACTATTTCAAATATACATATAATAATGATACAACTACAATGATTAATTATGAAGAATCAATTACTAATCTTTCTTATTTTGTTTAAATTATTGACAACTGTAAAAGTAAATCATATACAAATCATTATCTTTTAAAAAAATTTAATAAAATTTATAGTTTTGGGCATACAATGCAATCAGTCGACATGGCATTTTCCAAACACTTTGAATGATACCAACGACCACAACGTTCACAACCAGTCCAATCAATTAAAATTTCTTCTTCTTCTTCACTGATTTCATCGTTTTCGTCATTATCATCTTTTCCACAGATGAAACAAAGATCAGTTTCAATATCTTCAACGACATTTAAAACTGCCCCAGATGCAATGTTCAACTTATTGCCCCTGGGTTTTTTTGTTTCACATGCACCACGATGATACATTAGCAAAGTTGTAACCGAATCGTTTAAAAGGGATGCTGTTGATGTACCAGGTTCCTTGTATTCAGGAATTCTTTTTAAAACCTTTATACGGTTTATTGGATAAAGTCCGCATGTAATAAAGCCAGAAACCAAATTCTGACACACTGTGTCTTGCAACTTAAGTGATAAACTTTTTAATAGAGCTGGAAAATGTTCTTTGGGAAAGCATCCAGTTTTTCTGCTTTGTTTTCTCCACTCATATAATACATGTTTCCAACAACGCTTCATTGGACCAAAGACATATACATCTAATGGCTGCATTAAATGTGTGGCATTTGGTGGCAACATAGCAAAGTAAACATTATGCTCCTTAGCAAGTTTAATAACGTCTGGATTAAAATGAGAAGCCAAGTTATCTCCTAAAAGAAGCTTGGGTCCATTTAAATTCTGAACGTTCGGCAAGAAGCATTTTTCAAACCACTTGGCAAATGTCTCCATATCAAACCAACCTGATTTTGTGCAACTGTATATTGTTCCCTGTAGCCCTCCTGTTACCCAACCTTTATAAACGTTCGATGCTCTATAAACTACCATAGGTGGTTGTAGTACTCCTGAAGCAGAGCCACACCACATAAGAGATATAGAAGTTTTACTATGTTCTTGAACGTTTTCCACTCGTCGTCTTCCTCTTCGAACTAAAACAAACTTTTTTCCAGGATCATCTGAAAGGTTTGTCTCATCAAAGTTAAATATGTTTGAAGGTTGAATACCACCAAGAGATTCATAAGTTCTTTCAAATTCATCAAAAAAATTATTTATCATTTCTACTCCTAACTTTGATCTCGATCGTTTAATATTTGAAGCATTTCTCCCAGAAATATTGTTTCGTTTCATAAAAGAATTTAACCAGTCATTTCCAGGTATCTGCAAATTGAAACTGTTTGACCCATTGCGATTTTTGAGGAAATCAAAAGCCATCATTCTGACTTCTAATCTTCCAATAGGAAAGCCCCAATCGGCAACAGCTTCTAGCATTTGAGCAATGAGTACCTCATCTGCTTTGCTTATAATTGTCTGGCCTCCAACCTTCTTTAAGGTGGGTTTTCTAATGTGATCATGCAATGTTGATTTTTTGACTTTATGCTTATCAGCAGCTTTTCGAATACTCATGCCTTTACTGTGATCTTCTATAGCTTTTTTTATATCTTCTTTAGAGCTTGTTTCATACAACACTTTTAAGTTTAGTTTACGTTTGTAGTTTCGCGCCATCACTAAAAGAAACTGAAGTAGAATAATAAGTAATGCTCTGTCCGGAGTCACCCCGCTGTCCGAAGTCACCCCGGTTGACGGTACTAATATGGTATGTTAGTACCGTCACTATAAATAATCCATTTAGTCTATATTATAGAAATAATTGTTTAACTAACCCTTTACTACTAGTAAAGGATTAGTTGAACTTTTATTTCTATAATATAGACTATATGGATTGCATATATTCTTGCATAATTTTCTAGATTTAGACATGTAGTAACATACCATATATTATATGTATTAACTTACCATATATGTTATTATATATTATTTAGTAATACTAATGGCTTTTAATTAATAAAATAAAATAATTAAAAATTAAAAAATAAAATAAACCTTATTGTTAAATTTTCTGCATAAAGCTTTATATAGAAAATAAGTTAAATAACCTTCGAAATAACATAGCGTAATTTAAATTATATTTATCCATTTGCTTTGTCTACTAAATGTAAAACTTTTTAAAAAATGGCATATTACACTTACTGCAACCAACTTTTATCTACGATGTAAATGTAAATGTGAGAAAAACGCATTCAAAACTTTATCATTTTCAAAATAAAAATATATAATATACTGAAAAAATTTTTTTTGACCGATTAGAATATTTAATCCGTTGAATTAACGAAATTTCAAAGAATCCGTAAATAGTTAATTTTACTCCGTTAATTTTCTGGTTTTTGGTAATGAATTAATCCGTTAATTTGACAAAAAAGCTCAATCCGTTACTTTTTTTAACGGACTGTTTTTAGAGTGTATAAGTTTATGAAGAATTATTGTTTCTTTTCAATATTGTACAAAAATGTTTTTTCAACATTTTTAATCTAACATTGATTTAACGTTGATTCAACCAACTTATATACGAGTTTATAAACCTTAAAAATACAGCTTTTTGCGCCGTGACTCTTTTAATCTGGAAAAACACTAATTTTTTGTACAATATTGTGTTGTTACGATTTTTCTATGTTTCTGGTTTGTTTTCAACGCTAATCTAATGTTTTTTTTTTTCAACGTTGATTTACGTTTCCAATTTATCTAAAAATCAACCATTTTTCAAGCATAAATTTCAACAGTTTTACAACGTTGATTGTGCTTGCTGGGTTTTCGCCCTTTTTACATATGGCGGATTAAATTTGTAAACAAAAATTTTTAATTTTTTTTTTCTTAAATGAAGTAAATACATTTAAAATTTACGTAAAAGTGTTAAGCGCAAATTATATACTTGTAAAATAATAATTTATGATTCCTTAATTTATTTTCGATTAAAAACGGATTAAAGTTGTGAATGGAAAAGTAAAACAACAGACACTTTTGAATCATTTTTATGAATTAAAATACTTTTTAATAAACATTGACTTATAAAAAAACTTTTATAAGTATTTTATAATTATTAAAATTTGTTTTTGAATTATCTTTAATTTATTGGAAACTTTTGACGTGCATTTTTAACTTTTATTCTACACTTCGGCTTCAGCGTTCGCCCTTTTTACAAATGGCGGACTATTATAAACAAAAAAAAGCGGCTTCATTTTTTGTCAAATAAAATCCTGCAAGCTAGACATCTAGTTGTATAATATCACTGATCTCAAAATATAACTGGATAGCGGATTCTATTGTTTTTTCCCAAAAAAGTTGAAGCTAAAATTGGCCTCCCAAGATGGCGGCGATTTTAGTTCATAGCGGTGAAGCCGATATACATTTTATTTTACTTTATCAAAATACAAAAGAAAACAAAGAAATAAGACTAATACATTTGAATTTTATAATTATTAGAGGAAATAAGACAAACAAATGAATTTTATAATTATTAGATGAAAAAAAAAACTATTTTTTTTTGAATAATTGAATTTATTATTAAATGGCATAGTGAAATTTACAATTTTAGTTGTATGTATAATTTATGTGCCTTTTAGTTCTAACTAAGAATGCTATAACTAAGAATAAGAACCAAATGCTGTATGCTAGAAGGTTAATAATCACTGCTGTTTACCATTTATAAAAGCATGGTAAACAGCAATCATGTCTACCAATTTTATACTTTGTATTTTTTAAGCAAGACACCAATTTGTACAAATGCTGCATGAACTATTAACTGAGTGCTGTAACTACACAAAAACCAGGGGCTTCTTCTAGACTTATATTATACTTGAATGGTATTATTGCATAAATAATATGATTAAAATATTCTAGTGTGTCACTAATATTGGTAAAAAAAAGGTCTGATTTATAGTTATTTATAATAACTTTTAAAACAAATAAAAGGTAAAAAATCATTTCTTATGACTTAAAGGATAGTCACTCAATAAAATCGGTGATGAAAATGTATGTAAAAATACATTTGTTTGAAAAAAATGTGTTTATTAAACTTTTAATATACAAATATTCAAAACACCTCTTTGAAATATCTCTTTAACTAAAGTTTAAACTAATTTTTACCTGCTGTTAACAATTATGGATATATGTTTGCTGACTTTTTTGTATTATTAAACTGTATGTTGCAGTTAAATAATTTTATATGTATGCCGATGAGTTTATTCGCATAAAAGATTGATTACATGACATATTAAATTCAAGAAACCTATTTCCCAATGAATGCAAGTCAGCATTGTGTGCATATAACAAGACTCTTTGTAGCGTTCAATGCTCAAATGGAAACTGCACCATCAGAGATCAAACTCATATTTAAAAAGCCTTAGATTATTTTTTCTTTTACTCACTCCAGTACTAAAATATCTGACTGAAATTGAATTAATAAGAAAATATGATTTGTTAGAGAGAAAACCAACTAATAGTGACCACGATTATGCAGATATTCCAAAAATATATATAAAAATAAAAAACAAGGTACAAATGTGCTAAAATTTTGATCCACGCTTTTCGTAGTCTCTTCAAATTTAGCATGGTTGAGGAAGGCTGTGTGGAATAACTTCTTAGTATTTGTTATCAACATAGTATATTTTTAGAAAGTAGAATAGTTGAGCTTCTTCTTGTACGTGGTTTTAATTATACTCACTTGCTTTATTAACGAGTTTATTGATGTCAAAACTTTGTCATACTTTGGTGATAAAATTAATCTCTAATATATGCTGCAATATTTTTCTTTCCTATTTTTTTTTTTAATTTTTTTATTTATCTATGCATCTGCCAAATTTCATTGTAAAATTTTATGTAGCAGGCACTCTATTTATTGTCACACCTTTGGTACTCAATTTACATTTTCCTAAATACTAGCGTGGGAGACAGAGGGGACTATTGAATAACTTTTTAGTTATTATTTTGATTTAGATAAACAGCAATATTTCTATTAATATTAGTAATAAGAATGACAAATATTAGTAATATGAATGCTATAAATGGTTATTACAAATATTAGTAATATAATGCTATGATTGCCTTTTTATAATATTAAATATTAATGACATTAACTTTAAGTTAATAACTTACATTAGTTATGCGAGTTATTGAGCCCTAATAACTTACATATTACTAAGTAAAATGTGATTTTTTTGATTAACTATTATTTTTTTTTTTTTTTAATTTTATTAAACTTTAAATTTAGTCTTTAACAACTATATTTAATAATTAACACTATTAATATTTTATATTTATATTATAAATTTATGTTTATATTAATAATATTAAATGTTTCATTAATTTATTGATAATATATTAATGAAACAAACCTAAATTTATTTACAAGGTTTGTTCAACTTCTTATATCATTTATTTTTAGTAATTAAAATTTTTTAATGATTAAATTGGTTTGAAAAACTTCATTTCAGTCAATTGTCTGCTTAAAAGGTAAATTATGTTATTTCATTAAATACAAAAAAAAAAATACAAAAAAATACAAAATACAAAAAGTACTAAATACAAAAAAAAAAAAAAAGTTTTTTAAATTAAGTTATACTTGTAATAATATTTGTAACTTTTTTTGTGGTTAATCTTGAATACAAGTTGAAAATTAAATCATAGTTATTCAATATTCTTATCTATATATTCTTATTATATATATATTCTTATTATATATATATATATATATATATATATATATATATATATATATATATATATATATATATATATATATATATATATATATATATATATATATATATATATATATATATATATATATATATATATATATATATATATATATATATATATATATATATATATATATATATATATATATATATATATATATATATATATATATATATATATATATATATATATATATATATATAGGTGTTATGGGCCCAAAAAATAAAGCATTGATATTTGAATGAGAAATCAACACTTTTTTAAATGGATATGTACTTTTTGTTTTCATAAAAAGTGGTGAGATATATACGAAAACTGTAAAAGAAGTCAAAAAGTTTTTTAGTTTCAACACTTGCACATATCATGTCCAAAATGTAGTGAATGTAGCAAAAAAATGGAAACATAACTTTAAAAGGGACTGTACACATTTTGTCAATTTTTGCAACAAGCTGTTTACATGCTTCCGATTTAGTTGCCTTGTCTTACAAACATGACAGTAATTCCCATTTATTTGCCTTGTCTTACAAACATGATAGTCTTTTATCTGAGACACACAATGAGTTTTTACCTACAGCCAGTTGTTGTAATCATATACAAGATATTTTCACTTGTAGACAAGAAATTCCACCGAGAGAAAATCTATTGAAGATTCAGTTATCCAATTTGGCTAATCAGTTAGCTACCTCTTACAAGAAATACAGAGCGAATATAGCTATAGTCTAAATTAAATAGCATGCCATATAAACTAAAACTTTTAAGACAAAGTGTTAAAAAAAAGAAGATATTATAAAGGATTTAAGAAGAGAGTTAAAAACTAAAATGAAAATGTCATATTTTACTCGACAAATTTGAAATCATACAGCTACAATAAAAAAATTAAAATATAATGAAAAACAAAAGTTGAAGCAAATAAAGCATAACACAGATAATATGGCAAATAAAAAAATGATTGCTAGTTTGAAAAACAACTTGCTTCAAAAAGAGGAGAACGGAACTACACTTTTGAACGTGAATGAAGAAGCAAAAACATATTCATTACATATGAGAATGATTACTTATAATATGTTAATATGTAATGTCCCAACAGGTAACATTCCTTTTGTGATTCAGAAAATTGGACAATGTATGGGTTTTAATTTTTCTGATATTCCACACCACAGTTCCGTTGAACATATGGCTCTTGAGCTTGGCAGTATTTCAAGCTTGCAGACTGCTGGATGGACAATCAACAACAGTCAACTTTAAATGCTGCAACACAAGAAGGTGTTCATATTAACAGTATTCACTTGACGTCAAAAAAAAAATGCCTAGTTGTTGCTATGGACCAACTACCTGGTGGAACAGCTGATGATTATGAAAACCATATATGTAATGCCATATATCATATGGCTTTTTTTTATTCTCATTTTCACTCTTGCAGCTATAACGAATCTTGTAGTTCAATTATTAATAATATTTCAAACACAATATCTGACCGAGTTGCTGTTAATCATCTTACTGTAAGCAAAGTATTTGCTTACAATAAGATGATTTGGGGTAAAAGTCTAAATGAGTTGAATTGCCATTTGCATCCTTTTGATATGAGAAACGCAAATTGTTTGAAAACAACTGCATGACAATTTTGAGAATGAGAATGAGAAACGCAAATTGTTTGAAAATAACTGCATGGCAACCTTAATTATTTTAGCTATAAAAAAAATGAGATTTAAAGATGCAAAAGACGATCCACAAGGTTTTATAAATTTTTTAGATAATAATGATTTACCACGAGATATCATACCTAGGTATCGTGGAAACAGGTTTCACATTCTTTTCCATATTTGTTTTATTATAATAAAGCATCACAGTAAGTTTAAACAATATCTTTCAATTGGAACAGTAAAGTGTAAAAATTTAGAAGCAACTCTTCGAACAGTATTTTGTAGTAACCGCCGCTCATACCATATTTGAGCATCAAAGGTAATTTCTAGAACTTTAATAATTCTGTTTATAGTTTGACCACTTGTTTTACTATTTCGAATTGCAAATAACCTTTGCATAAATTTTAAATGGAGAAATTTCTTTTGCCTGTCTGTTTTGAGTTCTATCATAATCTAGCATAAGTGCATTTTTCTAATTAGCTCAATAACAAACTTTGGAAATTTTCAAACACTTTAAATTCCTGATGGTTTTTTTTCAGGCTCCAATGTCTAAAAAAAAATTTGTAAAGTTAATCTATAAAGTTAAATTTGTTTATTAACTTTCTTTCATGAAAATTTATATACATATATATGTATATATATACATATCTATATCTATATATATATATATATATATGTATATATATATATATATATATATATATATATATATATATATATATATATATATATATATATATATATATATATATTTATATATATATATATTTATATACATATATACATAAAACTTATATATATATATATATATATATATATATATATATATATATATATATATATATATATATATATATAAGTTATTATATATATAAGTACCAGTTCGTTAAATACCATTCGTCTTGGACAAAACCACAGATTGTTAAACACTTTTAAGAGGAAGGAGTTCCTAGATTTAGTATTTTGATGCTTTAATATTTTAAAAAGAATAGAGAATAGAATACAACCTGAACAGAAAGTTAGAAGTAAACCACCGGTGTTAAAAATGACCAAAGCAAAAGTTACACTTTTAAAAAATTCTATTGATCATCACCATGGAATTAGCCAACGTGCTCTTGGCCAAAAATTTGGTGTGTCTAAATCAACAATATTTAGAACGATAAAACAGGTGACAAAAATCAAATATTACAAAAAGAAAAAAGCGCCTAAAGAACTATTAAGCAAAAAAAAGTTGCGCGTACAAAATGCTATCAACTTACCAAGCTTTTTCGCAAAAAACAAGTTATAATTGATGATGAGTCTTATTTCGGTTTGAGCAACTTTGAGTTGTCTGGAAATTCAGGATATTATTCGAGCGATCGTGACACTAAGTCAAATGAAGTCAAATTTAAAAGAGTTCAAAAGTTTGAACCTAAATTGTTGGTCTGGGTAGCATTGTCTCTTAAAAGTAGGTCAAAACACTTCATTGTATCATTGGGTCAAGCTATTAACGAAGATGTTTACTTAGATAAGTGCTTAAGATCTAGATTAATTCCATTCATTGAACAGTACCATAAAAATGATAATGCAATCTTCTGGCCTGATTTAGCATTGTCACATTATTAAAAAAAAAGTTCAAGCATTCTTAAATTTAAAAAACATCGAATTTGTACCAAAAGAGAGAAATATTGCTAACACTCCAAAATTTAGACCAATCGAAGATTTTTGGAGTGAAATCAAACGAACAGTTTATGCTAAATGCTGGCAAGCTGAAAATTTGGAATAACTTTGTAAAAGTATTGACTACTGCTTTTAAAACTTAGATCCTGATATACAACAATTTGGAAGGTTGTCTTTTACTCGAGTTGATACAGCTCAGCGAAATTGAATCCAAAACTTTTTTTTATTTTATTTGAATGATAATATTTTTTATCTATAATTATCTTTTTTCCGAAATAAAAAATCTTTATCCGTTAAAAAGTTATTTAACCTTTTCTTTTTGTCTAGATTTAATCGGGTCAGGTGTATGAGTTACCATCGCAATCAAACAAATGTGTGTGATTTATTTTGGGATTTAAATAAACTTTTTTATAACTTTTTTTTGGGATTTAAATGAACAGTAGTTGTGTTATTTTAATTTTTTTTTTAGGTTGGGGAGGGAGGTATACGCCCCCTCTACCCATACGTTGATGTAAACACCACTTGTATACGAAAATTCTTGTAGAATATAATTTCATATTGCATACTAATTAAATGCATTTTTGTAAAGATAAAAATATTTATGAAAACAAATCATATTTGATGCTAGGGTGTATCAAACCATCGCCACCACACCCACCTCTATCATTTAAATACGCCTCTTATATATTTTGGTGGTTAAATATAAATTTGTATCAACTTTTTAGTATATTTTTCTGAACATTGCAAGAAGTAAATTTTTTGCGATCGTCACTCTCGCACTGTATTGGAAAAACGCTGACACGCTCTACATCAATGATATATTATGTATTTAGATGTCTAACTTGCAGTATTTTATTGGACAAAAAGTGAAGCCGCTTTTTTTTTGTTTATAACAATAGTCGGCCATTTGTAAAAAGGGCAAAAGTTCAAGCCAAAGTGTGTAATAAAAGTTAAAAATGCAAGTCAAAAGCTCCCAATAAATTAAAAATAATTCAAAAACAAATTTTAATAATTACAAAATACTTAAAAGTTTTTTTATGAACCAATGTTTATTAAAAAGTATTTTAATTCATACAAATGCTTAAAAAGCGTCTGTCGTTTTACTTTTCCATTCACAACTTTAATCCATTTTTAATCAAAAATAAATTAAGGAATCATCAATTATTATTATTTTACAAGTATTATAATTTGCGCTTTTACATAAATTTAAAATGTATTTACTTCATTTAAAAAAAGAAAAGTTAAAAATTTTTGTTTACAAATTTGATCTGCCATTTGTAAAAAGGGCAAAATGCAGCTTCACTTTACGGATTGAAGTTAGACATCTAGTTATATAAAATATCATTTCCTAGTTATGAGTCAGAACTCTGACCAGTTATATCATTATCAGTTATAGTTATATCATTGGTCTTGCTGTTTAATGGCTTTTTTTCAACTTGATTAAAGTTACTTGTCATTTTATTATAATTTGATAAATTACTTCGACTCAACTAAACTTGTAACCTCAGAAACTAAGAATCTTTGGTTCAACGCCGCCCCTGGGCAAGTTGAGCATGAAAAAGGCGTGAACTTCCTTTCAAAATGCTTTTCCGCGGTGCTCTGTGATAAGACCGTAAGGACTTTTTGGGGCACCCAAAGTAATAATAATAATAAAAATAATAATAATAATAATAATATATATATATATTATATATATATATATATATATATATATATATATATATATATATATATATATATATATATATATATATATATATTATATATATATATATATATATATTGTGGAAATATAGCGATATATCGTTGTTATTACAAATAGCTACAAGACTACATAGCAACATGTCGTAATAAAATCGCAATGCAAACTTCAATTACTTTTATGAATATAAAACATCTAATATTAAAAACCGAATTTTTAAAAAGTGAATAACAAGATGAAAAAAATTAGGTGAGAAATTAATTGTTTAAAAATCGCTAAAAAAAAAACTTGCTATTCGCTAGCTCATTTCCCTCAGAGAAATACTGTCTGGCGTTTAAACACTTATGATCCATTGAAATTTTACCTAATTATAAATAAGTTTCATCGACTTTGAATATAATAATGATTATATAGAAATCTTCGAATTCAAAGTTAAAAAACCTGCATTAAACTTAAGTCTCAAGAATCATTTGTACTTAATTTCAAAATTTTAAATATAGAAACATTGTAATTTAATTGCCACGTTAATGTTTTGCCAAATTAATGTTTTGAATTGAAAAACTCTTTTAATGAGTTCTTAATATTAGAGAATTTTCACGAGCATTTCACATTTTCACGATCACAATCCTCGAAATCATTTAATTGAGTTTTCATAAAACGAATTATCTCTGTTATAAATGGTTCGTAATTTAAACATTTGTATGATAATATCGAAGAAGGAAATGTAGAACCTATTTTAATTACTATTACTCAAATAAAGAAAAAGTGATATAATTATAAAAATATGATTCTAATATAACAACAAAGTTTGATAACACGCATAAATTAAAATTGACGGAATGATGACGCCATTTATTGATAATTTAATATTTTAAATAATAAATTCAATTTATTCTTTAACTATGTTGGTTTGTTCTAAGTTGGTTTGCTCAATTTAAGGTTCTACTGTCATCCAAATTCTAAGTTGGTTTTTTTAATCTAAGTTGGTCAAAAAGTTTTCCACATTGATAATATCTTCAGCTTTATATGAAAAAAAAGAACCAACTTCTTGAGTTAAAAGATTTTTACCAATACTTTTTCCATCCCAATGATTTCCTGAATAAATTAAAAAAAAAAATTTTAATAATTTTATTAACATTAATCTGTAAATGAATTCAACAATAGATAAGTAAAATTTATCTTATTATTAATAACCTATTATTAATAAAATTTAATGATTTTAATTAATAAATATTTTTTCTGATTTCTGTATTGAAAGTTACACAACTATTCTCTTGAACAATAAAAATTTTAATTTTAACTTTGTAAAAATTAAAATCCTAGCTGCTCCTAAATTTTTAAAATCCTAGTTGCTTCTAGTTTTTTAAACCACCACTAAATAAAATATTATAACTGAAAAGTATCAATGTATATTTTAAATACGTTCAAAGGTTCAGGTTTTAACAAAGCAAACAGCATTTCCATATGTATGGTACCTGCAGAATAACAAAAAATGAGTCAAAGATATTAAAAATTAAACATACATAAAATGCCGACTTATGAAAAATGATAAAAGAACTGGATGAAATAAACAGTTGCATTGTTATAAATGCATTATCGCAAAATATATTGGTTATCAGCCATTTGTTAAATGAAAGAGTTATAAAAGAAGCTATAAAAGAAACATCACTGACGACGACGATCACTGCATTTAACTTAATCTTGCAGGAATTAAAAAGATTTCTTCAAAAACTGTTTTAGGTAAATATTGCATGCAATTTATTGTCGCAATTTAAAACATTTAGTTGATTAAATCTTCAAACTAAAATGGTCAGCTAAAAAAGTAATGATGGTCACTGATGGTCAGCAAATGTATAAGCTAATAAGGTAAAAAAGCATATATGACACATATTTTTAAGGTGAAAAAGCATATATGACACATATTTTTAAGGTGAAAAAGCATATATGACACATATTATTAAGGTGAAAAAGCATATATGACACATATTTTTAAGGTGAAAAAGCATATATGACACATATTATTAAGGTGAAAAAGCATATATGACACATATTTTTAAGGTGAAAAAGCATATATGACACATATTTTTAAGGTGAAAAAGCATATATGACACATATTATTAAGGTGAAAAAGCATATATGACACATATTTTTAAGGTGAAAAAGCATATGACACATATTTTTAAGGTGAAAAAGCATATGACACATATTTTTAAGGTAAAAAAGCATATATGACACATATTTTTAAAAGTAATGATCATCAATCATTATAAAAATTATTAATTACCTCAATATTTCATTAAATCTTAATAGGAGCTGTTCAAAAAATACGTGATTTTTTTGCCGTTTTTATAAACCCCTCTCCCCTAAGTGACATTTTGTGGCATTTCAAAGAACCTCCCACCCCTTCCTCCCTGAGTGACATGACGAAGACAAAAAAAATTTTATAAGTGAATATTTTAATTGTAGTAGGTTTTTTTTAAATACAATTGATGAATATCTGTCTAAAATCTAAATTTGTTCCCAAATCGGACTTTGACCTTCAAGTATTGGAGTTGAAGGCCAGTTGAGGTCAGAGGTATCAATATCGCCCTTATAATACCACTTTATTGTTTCTTAAAAAGACACAATAAAGTGGTATTACACTTTATTGTGTCTTTTTAAGAAACAATAAAGTGGTATTACACCGAACTTAAAAAGACACGCATAAGTTCAGATAGACGTTGAGCAACTAGGCGATGAGGTCTAATTTTTTGAATTTCATTCGAATATCCAATACTTGATCAAACTGATTTGTGTTGTTTCATTGATTTGATAGTGGCAAAATATAAATTACTATTGATACAAATTCATTTTGGTAAGGAATTTTGAATGCTTGGACATGAATAGTTGTATGGCAATCCATTAGGATACTTTTTTGTAACTGTCGTGGGCAATAATGTTTTGCAAAGTGGTAAACTAAAAAAAATGGATGCAAAGTTGTTCGTTGTATTATTGCATTCAAGACCATTTTCTCTTTGGAACAAAGAAATTGGCGGAAGAAAACCAGTTGGAATAAGAAGAAACAGTGAGCTACGACAATGACTACAGCAGTTTTGATCATTACATCATAAAATGTAAAGGAAGTATTGACTTTCTCTGACATGTTTAGCATCCCACTCTGCTCAAAAATATTTTAAGTGTACACATTTTCTACTGTTTGGTTTTATGTACTCGGCTTTAGTTTCAAATCCATCATTGACTGTGCTAGACCAAATTTGAGCAAGAACTTTACCTGCATTGGCAAAATTTGCCTTCTCCATAACTTTACCTGTTGTTTCTTCTCTTGAATTAATTCTAAAATGATAAAATTGAAGTACAATTCCTGCTAGGTCGTGGCTTAGTAAAGCCATTCTTTTTTCTACGCTGTTAAAGGCACTTCTGCCAGGATCATTAGTGGCCACAAACATTCCATCTAGGTCATGCTCTTTAAAATAAGATTTGACACAATGAATTGTTTTTTCATATCTTGGATTTTCATTTGGCTCACCATCAACAGTTAATATCATGAATGGTTAGCTAACTCGATCTTCAGTAAATAAGCTGCTTTTAAATGCAGGAAGATGGTTTATTCTGTTCATGTCTTTTAAGTGACTAAGTGCTGTTGATGAAACGTGTTTTAAACGTGTTTTACATTTTAAACTTCTGATTGCTTGTTGGACTAGAGTATGTGACTTGTTTTTCCATGCAATCTTTTTTAATTTGAATGACTGCAATTACTGAAGGAATAAGTTTGTATTGCGGAGCAATTACAAAATCACGATCAGCTAAAGTCACCTTATACTCCATATGCATCATAATTGGTGCTTGTATGTTTGCAGCTGTCAATCCAATAGGTACCCTGGCTTTATCTTCCTGGGAGTAAAACGTCAATTCTTTAGGACCCAAGACTGCGGCAAGTTCTTCAAGAGCACTAATGGATGATTTGACAAATTTTGTGTCTGCATGATGTTTATGCTCAGGATTTTGTGCTCTTATTAACCGAGTAGATGCAATTTTAACCATAGAGAGATTGTAAACATGATTTTTCAATTCTTCAACCAAGTCATTTAATATTTTTACAATTTAAACCATTTCAGTTTTTCTCCTATCATCAGAAGCAGACCCTTTTATGGCAATATCTACTACTCTTTTATTAAACTGTCCTGATCACATGCTAACGATCGACCTTTTGAAACTAAATTTTTAATTCCACACAACTTTTTCTAATATCTAATACTTCTAATGATTTTTTTCTTTTTAGTTGCAGTTTGACGTGGCTTTTTGACGAAGTACAAAACCTCGTTTTTTTCTACCAAAAGTTTTTGCTTTTTCCCTTGTATTCGGTAGTCTTCTTGTGACAACAAGTTGCAATTTCTTTTTTCACTAATATATAAAGTATCTTTTTGTAAAACAAAAATTTCATTTTTTAACTGATCTTGTTTTAGGGCTTGTTTTGTTAAAACCTTAGAGATTTTGGAGGTTTCTTTTTTACTCTTTCACTTGTTGTTATTGATGGGGTCGCGTCAGTCACGCCATCAAACGTGATTTTAGATTCAACCGCACGTTTTTTTGATGTATTCGATACTTGGTTAAGTAATTTCGTCCAGTAAGATAAAATACTAACTTTATTTCATAATTCAATTTGTTTTAGTTCTTTCAATTTTTTTCAACTTCTACATTTAATTCAAATAATGTTTTACTCTTTGTTTTAATAATAACAAATTTATTTTAAATTACGTTAAGTAAGTATATAGTAAAGATAGTATTAATAATAGCATTAATAATACTACTATTACTAAAATTTTATATCGTTGTAACCAGTGGTTACTGGTTATAACTTGACTGATACATACTAAAACTTGAGCAGAGATTTTAATAAGGCAGTTAATCAATTACTAATAAGATGATGATAGAGGAAAAAAAAAGTTTAAACAAGTTTTAGTTTTACTACCTCTTAACAAAATTGGTAACAAGTTTGGTAGTGGTAAATTATAAAAACCAAGCTTATCTACCAAGCTTTTTTATGATTTAGATGACATAGTGTCAAAAAAAATTGTTGTAGAAAAACTCTACCATTAATAGTATAATACTGAGTATTCCATTTCTGATGTATGATAAAAGGACTGATTTTATTAAAGAAGTTTTAATAAAAAACTTAATAAAAGGAAAAAAAAAAGATGGCCAATAAACAAAACCAAAACTTATTCAAAAGCCGAACTCAAGTCTTGTTTTGTTAGCTTTTCATTTAGTAATTAAATTTTTTGTTTTAAAAACTTTTTGAATTTAAAATTTTTATTTTCTAATCTTTTGAGGTTATAAGAAGTTACGGGAGGGGGAGGAGAAACCTTTTCATGTACATCACTACTACATGTAAATTTTAAAAACTACATGTAAATCTTAAAAAATATTATTTTGATTGCATACGATTTTAAATTTTATCCTAAGTTTAAATAAAAACTTTTTTATATGGAGTAAACATTTTTGATATTAGAGCATGTTAAACCGTTACCACCCCATCCTACTTCAAAATCCATTTCTCATATTTGTTTGTGGTCTGAAATATAATTTTTGTAACTTTTTATAAAAAAGTTTTTGTTAAAAAACTTTTTTGTTTAAATTTTTTCTCTACATTTTTTACGTAGGGGACAGGGGTGGTGGTTGGGCGTCCTATTATGATGTATATTGCATTAATACTTGTATAATCTTGTAAAACATAAATTTTATTGTATGTTTTGTAAACTGTGTTATAATTTCACTTAAATAACAATCTATTTATAAGAACTAAACATTAGGGTTCATTGAAATTAGGGTTTGTTAAACTATCACCATCAAATCCACTGCAGTTCTAAGATATTTTCTCATATTTTTATATTTATTTGTGATCTTGAACAAAATTTTAATATTAATATATGAAATAAACTCGTAAAAAAAACACTTTTTTTATAAAAAAAATTATGTATTTTTTACGGATATGGTTCTTAATCCCTCTATCCCTTATTATAGGCCCACTGGTGAGAAGCCAATATAAATTTGTAACTTTATGTTACATTATATCGTTAGAAACCAAGTTTTATGTATTCAGATAAAAATTGAAGAAATTATTCACATTATAACCACAGTTTTATCAATAAATCCATATATCAAAAATTTGTGGCGGACCTTAAAACGGCGCATCCCAACTCAGTTTTAATTTATAAACCAATGAAAATTTACTTTTAATTTTTGTAACGAAAGCTTTCATTGTTTACCAAGTTTGTGGTGCGCCGTTTTAAGGTCCGCCGAATTTGTTACTTAAAACGTTATAACTTTTTTTAAAACTGTTTAATTTTAATGACTTTTTCACTATTAAAGTACTGTATTCAAGCTCTTTCTAATAATATATAATTTTCTAGTATTTAATCAGTTTAAAAATTTCAATCCGCATACCTACTAAATATAGTATAATAAATATTAAAAGTACCAGCTATTTTTATGGTATCTCCTATATCCAACTTTAGCTCATCATTCGACGTCTTTATGTTCGGCCAAATAACTTTCATTGCATGTTCTTTTTGACCTCCAAAATAATAAATATCATCTAATGATCGAACATTTTTGCTTGCATCCGTATGTTTGTGGTTCATAAATTCGTAAGCTAATCGACAAACCTGAAAAATGGAATATGTAAGAAATATAATAATTTAAAAGGGTGCTTTGGCTAAAACAGCCCATGCGGGATTATTCTAAAATAGCCCAATTATGCATTAATTTACCGTGTAGGTTTAATTTGAAAGCCCATAAATTTATTAGCCCTATATTTAAAAAAAAAAAATTGTATTTTTGAACAAGCTTTATTTACCAGTGTAAACTGACTTACACTTACTCTCCGAAAAACACTTCGAAGTTATTAAACCCTAGGTAATTATTCTTAAAAACAACAAAGTATTATTTATTTCAACATTCTATTGAACTGTTGAAAAAAAAAATTTTGCCCAGCTAGATTGCATAAGACGATTTAACTTGCATGATTTTTATTACGCGGTTACACTTAAACAATTCTTGATCCGCTACACAAGCCGACCATGGATTGTTTAATTTTTTTAGATTGTTAAATATTTTACGAGCATTATTATAATACATAAAAATTTCACCATAACCCATCTTTCACACAACGCGAAATTCTTTTAATTTGTGTGACAAAACTTTTTTGAGAAAATTTCTTTTTATTAGATACCGAATTCCTTTCTGACCGCGGCGACGATTTCAACCGAAAAATATGGATCAAAAATATTTCATTAAATTTAATGAATTTAATAAAAAAAATATAAATTTAACTTTATAAAGTTACCTCAAAATTTTAAAAGTATATACAAAAGTATATAAATTGTATTCATAATATATAATATATAAAAAGTATATTTATAAATATAGCTTAAATGGAGATTACCAAATCTTAAACAAAGATTACCAAAACTCAAGTATAAATTAACTAAGTTTAAAAATTTACAGAACGTATAAAAATTTACAGAACGTATACAAATTTACAGAACTTATAAAAAACTGAACCTTAAAGACTTAATTTTTTTTATTACTACGTTAATCAATTTTTATTTTCTGAAACTCTTTGTCTAGGAAATAGTCAAAACTGTTTCTTTATCTGCAATACTTAGAACTGCTATTCCACCATTAGAACACTATTATATTAGTATTTTGCATAATCAAACGTTAACATTATCTTACATCGCCTACACAACAATGTAGATATTTGCAAAAAACCATTTAAAGTTGAGTTACTTTATAAAAAAAAAAAAAAAAAGCGAGATATATCTTATATCTTATATATTATATTATATAATATATTATATTAGCTTGTAATGTTATCTTGTTACTCTGTTTTGTTGAAAGTTTAATAGTTAAATTTTTTTATTGTTTGATTCTGCTCGATTATTTATTTTAAAGGGGAGGGGGAGATCTTAATAAGCTTGGCGTAGATGAGAAATTGCCGAAAATTAAAAAACGTCCCCTATTGTGTATTGAGCACGCAAAAGTATAAAATTATTGAGATAAAAACAGCGTTTTTTTGCTGTTGAGTTTTTTCCTTCCGTTCTGCAGGTAGACGTTCCTATTTCGCATTCTTTTTAAGAAAACTTTTACACGTCCGCCATTACAATTGTTATTGTTATTTTTTCTATTATTACTTTTATTAAAACTAATTTTACTAATATTATTATTCTTACTATTATTATTGTAAACAAAAATGATTTATTTGCTCATACAATTTAAGTTATATGTCCTTATATTACGCCATTGATTTCTTTCTTTCCGATTATTTATCAAAGTTAAAATAATTTTAACCGAACCGCAAACTAAACTAAAGCAGTAAAATATTAAACCAAACTATATAATAGTATGGTAATGTAAAACTTCTCTGTAATCATTTATATAAACTTTTATTTATTTTAGAATTGATATAAGTGCTTTTGAAAAATACCTGAGAAGAAAATGTGCAAACCAAAAAGTCACATTCTGAAAGTAACTCAACATCTGATATGATCCCCTCAATTGAACTCTTTGAAAAACGTTGATTTACATCTGCATATTCTGACGCCATCTCATCATGGATAAATATGTATTTTGGATACCTACAATACATATAAAGCTTTAAAAGCCAGATTGAGAGGGAAAAATTACCTTTGCCATTATTGAGGGCAATTTAGTACTATAAAAATATGTAAATTGTGGTTAAAATTAATGATTAAGAATAATAATCCAGGAGAAAAACTCAAAAAACTACTGTATGTGGAAATATTTTTTATAAAGCTGAAACTTTGCCAAGTGATTACCAGTGAAGGTATATAAACCACGTAATAAAAATGTCCCATGATTCCCAACAAGAGAACCCCTTTTTCGGGCCCTATTATAAAATGACGCATGCGCTAAAAAGTAAAAAAAAAAAACTGTTCTTATGATATACCATTTTAAAGTATTTTTTATGCGGAATAACTTTTTAAATGACACTAAGGTCTTAAAATGAACGGGTGATATTTAACAAATAAATGCTATACATTCAAATAATAATTAATTATTAATAAGTAATAAAAAATGGTCTGAAAACCTTGCTTGTAAAAATAACAAAATGTTTGAAAATATTGAAAGTTGATTTTAAGAAGACATTACATTTTAATTGATCTTTTAGAAGTTTTCAATCTTTAACTTTTAATTGAGTCTTTAGTGTTTTTTTCTGATGTGCCGCAGTTGTGTGTATAAAAATATGCAATTCGTTAAGATCTAATCATTGTATTTACCAATCTTTTTGTAAGTATCCTTAAAAGTTATTTATCATTAATGCTTACGTGCTTAAAATCCTATTTCCAATGTTAAGAATGCTAAGAAATATTAAAAAAAATTAATATAAGTTAAACTATTTTAATTAATAATTTTTCACTTCCAGTTTTTATTTATTTTACTTTGTGATGTTTTTCTTCTTGAAACAGTATTTTATTTTTTTACCATAATTGTACGGATATTAAATCTATTTCAAATTTGTATAAACTTTATTTGATGGATTTATTTGATTGAAGACTGAGCAATAATTTTTTGAAAAGCATTCGGCTCACAATTTTATTTAATTCTGTTATTTTTTTCCATTATGATTTAATTAAGAAATGGCATCTATATCATGTACTATTTGCGGAAGTGATAAAGAGTAAATGAATTTGGTCGGTGAAAAAGACCTACAAACCCTATATGATAAAATGATTGAAATCGATAATGGTGTTGGATATTGTCTCCAAAAGTTTTGATCAAAACTGAATGTAAGGTATAAAGATCACGTCCATTTTGTCCAAAGTGCTCGCTGTAAGAGTGAATTGGTTTTGTTTAAAAATATGGGACTATATAATAAGGAAAGTTTAAAAAAGAGGGCACAGCAACAAGAGATAGTGTGGTAAAAGCAGCAGCCAAAATAGTAAAGGAAGAGATAAGGTCATTGGAATACAGTAAAGACTTTTACCCCACTATTGATAATATCACAGATGGAGAAAAGTGGGTTACTGAACCATTAAAAACTTTTATGATGTTACTGATTCCTTCCAGTGAGAAGCGGCTGAGTCTGTGCCAATGTATCATACAAACTTCTCAACCAAAAAGTGTTATTGCACCAATTCCATTTGGAGTTGCTGTCAATATTGATAAACCTGCTGGATTTAAACAGCTTATTCAACATTTCTTGTGGCTTGGGTTTTCAATCACTCAAGATAAATTGTACCGCTTTAAACAATCAACAAGTGAAGAGATGAGCAGGAATGAAATCATTAATCACAAAGAAATAAGTAATGGATTTAAGCAATGGGTAGCTGATAATGTTGACCACAATATTGCAACATTAACAGGAAAAGGTACATATCATGGGATGGAAATAATTGCCATTGGAAAAAAGAACACCCAATTGTTTGGTAAAATTCCAAGATTGAGACAACTTCTACCAACAGCAGCATTTGCTAACAATCGTAGTATAGAGATTGTTCTGTATCATAAACCTTCGCATAAGTAAAAGTTTCAATTTAAAACAATCTCCGAGGTGAATATGTATGAATATATATGAATAGTATGATGTCTACTTATGATCTTTTGTGGCACGCGAGTTGGTTTTTGTCATCAACTGAAGAACTTCATGCAAACTGTTCTGTGTTTTTACAATGCTTAGCAAAGTAACTGCTGCAAAAAGGATTTCAATCAGTTGTTTCATTTCTCCGAATAATAGATCTCGATCCCTCCAATAAATCATATCTTTATTCAACTTTGCTTTTTGTTATCTCCCAAGCAAAGAAGCTCTAAGTCGAAACCCCTTCTATAACTTTTGACCAGACATTTTGGTTAAAGGCATTCAATATCATCCATGCAGAAAATCTCCTAATTGTTTGCAGACTTGGTGGCTTTCATACGCTTATGAGTTTTCTGGAAAGCATTGGTACGCTCATGAAAGGAATAGGTCTTGAGGATCTCTTTGCCGAAGTATATGCTGGAAATTGTGTCACTAAAATGATGTCGGGAAAAGCCATTGCAAAAGCAACAAGGGCACACATTTTGGCTGAGTCAGATTTAACGTTATTATTAATGAAAGAAATCAAAGAAGAAAGTGAAGTGGAATTAAACGACTTGCAGCAGTTTTGTGAACTCGCTTACCATAGAAAACTTGATGAAGAAATGCCTAATAAATTGGCAACATGTGACGGTATTAAAAAAATTGGTCAAAAATTAGACCTGCTAAAGTCGAAATTATAGAAAAACTCTAGAACATCTAAAATATGGGTGTTGTACATTGACTATATCAATATTGTGAAAGAATTCATTTTTGCAGAAAGAACATCAAATTGGGAGCTGCATCTGCGTGTTCTATCAAAAATGCTCAATTTGTTTGCAGCTACAGGACACATTCATTATGCAAAAAGTGCCGATTATATTTGCAAGAAATGTAAAAGCTTCCAGAAACGCATCCTTGGCTGTATAGAGAATTTACAGGTGGTAACCATACTGTGCAATGAACAAAGAGAAATTGGAATGGCATCTGGATTGATCTTGCAATCAAATAAACTATGATGCGATCTATAAAGTCAATTGGTGGATTGACAGGTGGCCGTGGAATGTCAGAATCTGTCCGTCACGTATGAGCATTAAGCCTTTCACAGATAACTTCAATACACGATGCTATAATTCAACTAACAGGTGTAACTCCAGTGAGCAACTTGAAGAAATCGGAAAGTCGAGAACAAAGCAAGATTACGAAGATTTATGTTGTGTTAAAGTTTTATGAATGGTTAGTTGATCGAAACCCATTCTGTATTCCTGACAAAAATCTCCACTCACTGTCACTGTCGACTGATATGTATGTCATTTACTTATAAGGATGATGTAAACTTTGAGCTTGCTTGAGAAATTGGTAAAAGTATTCAGAATGGGTTGGATAACGTATTTTTTGATGACGCAAAAATTTAAAGAAAAAATCAAATCATAACATTGAACTAGTAAATGCATGGTAAAAAGAAAAGAACCAATAGGAGAACCGAGCATAATGTTTAACGAGCTAATAACTACAACCTCACGTAAAGATAATTTAGAATCTATATTTGAATATGAATTAACTTATGAGCCTATGTCACTTTATAAACAAGGCATGATGAGAAAGCCAGATAAGACATCCCTTCGCAAAGTAATAATGTGCGATGAAGATGCTTTGCTACATAGAGTTAGATCGTTTAAAGGAATGATATTCAATGCTGTAGCAGATGTTTACTCAAGTTTGATAAAAAAAATTACCGGGGATTTGTCACGGTTTTTTTTGACGGCTATCAAGATGAAGGCACAAAGAGTCTCGAGCATCTACGCAGAAACTCTATTCCACAAAGCTGCAATGTAGTAATTAACCGAGATAAACTTGTGCCGTTTACTCAGAACCGTTTTCTAAGTAATATTGAAAACAAAACCAATTTCATAAACTTTTTTATTCACACCATTTAAATCAATTTAAGTATTTGACTGTAAACTGCTCTGATAATGCTGATAGCACTGTTGTTAAAACCGCTCTTGATATCGCAACAAGCTTGGAGCATGTAAATGTTCTGGCTGATGACACAGATATCGCAGTGATGCTTATTCATCATTGGAAAAGAAACATGTCTGACATTTACTTTTTGCAAGATAAATGGGATAAAACTTGGAGTATCAAGGATGCTTGTTTAAAAAACAAAACCATAAAACAACACTTGCTCTTTGTCTATGCATGGTTGAGGTGTGACACTGCTTCGTCTGTGTTTGGAAAAAATAAAACAAAAATAGTTGAAAAAATCTCGGACAAGAAATGGCAAAAAATATCAAAAGTAATGACAAATCCATGGTGTAATCAAGAAGAAATTGGAAACGCCTCGACTGAAGGTTTTCTTTTGTTATATGGAGGAACAAAGAGAAGCAAACTTGCAAAATTGAGGTAATTATTGTCTATCTAGCATAGAAATCCTAATTGTATAAAAATAATTATCTTACTTAATTTTAGTTATAATAAATACATCGATTTAGCTCACAAGGGTCGCCAGGGAAACTTCCACCAACTGATAAAGCTGCTTACTTCCATGACCTGCGCGCGCATTGTTAAATAATGTTATGGTCACTAATTGATGACATTGAACTGGAAGCTACTCAATGGGGCTGAAAGCAACTCGACGGAGTAATCACATCTATAATAAACGATAAAGACATTGCGCCAGAAGCACTAACAAAGGTTATTAGATGTAATTCCAAGGTTTGATTTGAAATTAATGTATTTTTTCGAACTCCTTGAAATATCTTACAAAACTTTATCTGTATAATTTAAACTTAAATATTTTTTATTTCTAACTACAACAATTTCCTTTTTTGCTAATCATTAAGACAACAACAAAAAACCCATGTGGTGGCAAAGCATGTACGTGCGGAATACAGTGCTTGCAATATTGTAGGGAATGTCGTGGAACAGAATATATGAATAGCAAGGTAAATTTAACAATGAAAATTAGAAAAAAGACGTGTTCTCTCATATATTCTATAGTACTTTAAATCTAAAATTATCAAATATCAATATTTCTACGAAATATCAGTCGTATATTTGCTT